CCCTGGCAGGGCTGAGGGGACTGGGTGCCGCCATCTTGTGGCTTCGGTACCGCCATCTTTGAGGACAGGGCAGTCAATTAGCATATTCCCTCCTTATGGGCAACCGCTGTCCTTGAAATGGCATGAGGATAAATTAGCAAATTCCCTCTTTAGTAGGTAGGATTTGCAAACATCTTTTACCTTTTAAGTTCCACAAATCTAGAAAAGTTAGGGATTCTAGGAGCAGTTAGACCACTTTCAGAAAGTGTTTTGGATGACTAAAACACTCGAGCACCCTCGTCACTTTCCATGTTAATCTCACATCCACTTTGTGGCTCTAAACCTATTTATGTATCAATATGTAAACAGCAAACTTCTCTATTTGGTAGTTGAGATTGAGACACATCTTACCTACTCTGAAAATTAAATATCAAACTTCACAAATACCATAACAGAGGTGTTCTTTTATGGGGAAAAATGCTTTCTTCATGCAAATAAACTTAGTGGTAACAAAATAAATTTTTAGAAAAGTAAGTCATATGTAGTTTAAATTAGGAAGATTAGATTTCCTTAACCATCAGAATAAAAAACATTATGGTAAAAAATTAGTATATGTCGAAGTAAATTTACACAACATGCCAATTTCTATAAAATCAAATGCTCAAATTAACTGCTAACCATTTATAAAAAAGAACTGTAGCATGTTTATTGACATCTTGATTTAAAATAAAACAGCTATGAGGTTTCTACTGCTCCATTTATTGGATTATTGTCATTAGCAATTACCTCCACTTAACAATGTAAACGAATGATCAGTTTTACATCTGCTTCAAGTTAGTATTTCCCACTCTCAAGCACTTACATGACACTAAAAATTCTACACAACTCAAAGGATATTTAGGCAAAACCCTTTCCTTTGGGCTAAAGTGGGAGTAGAGGTAAGATGGAGGATGTGCAGGTAAATGGCAGAGGGCTTTCAGAGCAAGGAGCTCCGCTGTCTGAGACTATAGCACTGGACACACATCACTATGCATTCATCAAAACCCACAGCAAGTACAGCACCAACAGCCAGCCTTCATGTATCAATATTGGCTCACCAACTGTGACAAATGAACCACCTATTCAAGATGCTAAACACAGGAGAAATGTGAGGTGAAGGAAAGGGGGAATGAGGAACTCTGTTCCATCAGTTTGATTTTCTATACACATAAGAAAGCTCTAAAAAGTGAATTCTATTAATTTCTTTAAAAGTATTAAAGAAATACTAGTTCTGCCATGTTCACCTCAACTATTTGGAAAGTTGGAGGAGGAATTACTTTCCTTCATATCTATAAATTCTTCTGTGTCCACATCCACTTTTTTCCTTTAAATCTAAAAATATGTCCTTCTTCTCCCTGGAGTCTTCTCACTTTGCTTCCACTAGGCCCTGACTCCATTCAACAGCCTGAAACCCTCCCTCCTCTAAACTTGCTTAAATTTCCCCAAAAACCCAAAAGCCTTGCTAAGACCCTGACTTCCATTCACCCCTCAATGTGCTGTGATTTGCCTTCTAGCTCTTACCACCCGGCAATAGCTCCCTACAAAGTCACCAAGCCTTCCTATTGGTTAGGATTCTTCACTGCATCCCTGCAGCACTTGGCTCTGTGTCACCCCATCCCCACCCCACGTGATTCTTTCCTAAGTATTCCCCTCACATTAAGTGTTGCCTTCTGCTGAAACTGGTTTGGCTCAGTGGATAGAGCCTCCGCCTGCAAACTGAAAGATCCCAGGTTCGATTCCGGTCAAAGGCGTGTACCTTGGTTGCGGGCACAACACCAGTAGGAGGTGTGCAAGAGGCAGCTGATCGATGATTCTCTCTCATTGATGTTTCTAACTCTATCCCTCTCTCTTCCTCTCTGTAAAAAAAAAAAAAAAAAAAAAAAAAAAAAAAAAAAATCAATAAAATGTTTTTGTTTTTTTAAATGTTGTCTTCTCCCTTGGTTCTAAGCTACCCATCCTAAGCTAAGTTCGAAGCTAAGTCCCAATTCTCCATGTCTAACCCAGATTTCTCCCGTCATACAAAGCCACACATGCATAGGCACACATGCACAAGCACACAGGCACAGTCAACAGCCTGTTGTACACCCACCTATGTCCAGAAGAACCTGGACCCTTCATCCACCCCTCCCACATCTAGACTTCTGTACCAACAGCTCCAGCTTCTGTCCAGACTAAGCAGATTCCCACTCCTAAGAATTGGGATTGAGATCCAACTGTCCCAGTTGACAACAGAACTAGGAAATCATACTCGCCAAGATCATTTGCAGATGAAAGGAGAATGCCAGTCTGCAGAAAGCCAAGAAGGCAGCAGATGGCACAATGGAGGGGGAGAGAGTAACCACAGCTGTCTGGATGTTTCTGTCCTTCCATTCTGTGAGGTATGTCCTGTCCTTCCATATTCTTTTGTCTTCTAAGACAGTTTCAGGGGATTCCTATATTTGTAATCAAATAACCCCAACATCTTCTATACACCACCAAATAGGGGAACCCACTGCCAATAAACCATGGTGTGCCACCACCATGCACCCGACTTCAGAATGTTAAGAAGTGGAAGCCTGTGTGACCCACAGACAACAGAGTCTGATGAATACTAAGTCCATTCAGACCCTCCTACCTGCAGGCACCCCTTCCTGTCTCTGACCTACCCCAATCCTACTCATCCTTCAAGGCTAAGCCCCTGTCCAGCCAGTATGGCTCAATGGTTAAGTGCTATGAACCAGGAGGTCACGTGATTCCCAGTCAGGACGTTTGCTCAGGCTCAATCCCACGTGGTGTGCAGGAGGCAGCCAATCCATAATTCTCTCTCGTTTCTATCTCTCTCTCCCTCTCCCTTCCTTTCTGAAATCAATAAAAAATAAAATAAAGTAATAATGAGGACATGATGTTTCCTCATAGTTTCAGATCCTACACAAAAGCCTTTAGAAATAAGCACTAAAAATGCTCATTTATAATGGGGGAGAAGTATATATTCAAAAGGTTTCCCACTAAGCTCAAGAAAAAAGGGACGTTGTCAACTAATTTAACACATGGGGGAAAGATCATTGTAACTTCTGTCTTTCAGATAAGGGAAAGGCCGTAATTCAGCCAAAGAGAATTAAGGAGAATAAGCATTGTGTAGATAGATGTTCAATATCAAGAAACAAAATCGAAACTACAATGAAACTATATCCCCACCAGAACAGCCAGAATTAAAGGGACTGACAGTACTGTTAGCAAGCGGTGGAGGCACTGGCACCCTCACCTGGCAGGGGTGGCCCGAAAGGGAAAGTGCCCAGGGTGAAGCCCATGTCGAACATAGGACCGGCATCTCAGTGTGTCCACCTGAAGAGAAGACCCACACACAAATGCCTGTAGAGAAGAATGGTCACCCTGGCCAGTGTGCTCAGTGGTTAGTGTCAGCCTGCGCACCAAAGTATCTACACAGGTTAGATTTCAAGTCAAGGGAACGTACCTGTGTTGCTGATTTTTTTTAAGAAAAAATACATTTTATTGACTTTTTGGAGAGAGGAAGGGAGAGGGATAGAGATCTAGAAACATCGATGAGAAACATCAATCGGCCTCCTCCTGCACTCGCCACCAAGGATGTGCCCACAACCAATGCACATGTTCCCGACAGGAATTGAACCCGGACACCCCCCAGTCCGCAGGCAGACGCTCTATCCACTGAGCCAAACCGGTTTCGGCTGGATTGCAGATTTGATCCTGCCCTGTTGGCACTCATGCCAGCGATAACCAACCAATGTGTCTCTCACATTGGTGTTTCTTTTCTCGCTCACATTGGCTTTTCTCTCTCTCTCCTCACTTTCTAAAAAGCAATGGAAAAGTATCCTCCAGTGATGATTAAAAAAAAACAAAAACAGTGGATCAACAGTGTCACACAACGGGATAAAACCAGATGGGTGATTCCACCTCTCAGAACTGAGTGAGACAAAGATGCCAGACCCAACAAAATAGCAAACTGTATGAGACTCCACTCACAGGTCATTCATCAGGGAAAACTAATCTGTGGTGACAGAGGCGGGAATAGTGATCGCTGGGGAGGGGGCAGGAGGAAGCCTGGGGACGCTGGGAGGAGTGGTGCCACACAGGTGTGCTCACAGGTAAAATCCTTCAAGCTGAACCTACAGAAGCCAGGGCCCATCGCCCAGAACTGCCGGCCACTGCTACCTTCCTAGGGGCCTGGCCCCAGCTGAAGGGGCCACGGTGACACCCTCACCAGGGGCAGCCTGCTGCCAGTGCCTAACACGGGTGCACAAGACGTCAGCCTCGCTGCAGAGCTCTGCCCACACCTGGGAGAGGCCTGCCCAGCCCTCGCCCCGCCCCTCCGCGGGCCCACAGAGGGGCATGTAGTGACCTGATGACGTCAGCTCTAAGCCCGTAAAAAGTAGTGGAAAAGGGCGACTATTTGCACAGCTAGAAAGCGAGCCGTGCCAGCTCCTCTCCTCGAAGCAGAGATGTTCCTTGGAGATAAAACCCGAGGGAGGCGGGCAGGGCACACCTGTCAGGGTGCAGGTCACCAGGCCCCGCGGGGCAAGGGCCGTGGGCTCTGGCGCGGCACCTGCGCGGGCTGGAGTGTAAGGGCGGTTTCCAGTTTGTCCACCCGTTCTCAGCAACGGTAAGAATCGCCGAGAAAAAGCCCTAGATTCTTTCCAGAAACACGTTCTCAGAGGCTGGGAAAGCCTCACTTCCAGCCTCGGACTCGAACACGCGGCCGACGGCACAGCCGGTTTAGGTCCCGCAGGGCGGCCCCGCGCGGCGCCCGGAGAAGGGCGGCCCGGCCGGCACGAGGCAGCGCGGCGGTTCCGAAGAGCAACACCGAGTCCTTCGCTGCGGACCCCGGGCCGCGCGCCCCCGCCCCGCCCCCGCCCCCGCCCCCGCGGGTCCGGCGCGGCGAGCGGCCCCGGCGGCCGCGGGCAGGTGACACAGCACCCGGCCCTCCGCCCCCGCCCCCGGGCCGGCGCCGCGGGCACCGGCGCGCTTACCTTCCTGCTCGCGCCCCCGAGGGACACTTTGGGCCTCGTTTTGAAATCCCCTTCGAAGCTGAACATCTTTGCCGCCGCCCTAGCCCATCGGGGAGGGGCCCGGGCGTGAAAGCGGCGGGAGGGTCCGGGCGGGGAGGACGGGCCGCGCCGGGGGGCGACCTCGAGCCCACCCCGGCGTTGCGCCCGCCAGGCCTGTCCGCGCGTGGGGGGCGGTGACTGTGAGGGGGCTCCGCCTCACGTCCCCCCTCATCCACGCCTCCGCCCGCTCCGGCCCGGCCCAGGACGCCGCGGGGAAGCCGGCCCGTCACACTCGCGCCCGGAGCGGCGGCCGGGAGGAAAGATGGCCGCCGGTCGCTACCGCCGTGCGCGCGCCCGCCATTGACGCCGCGGCGCCCTCCCGACGCCCCCCAGCGCGTGCGCGCCCGCGTGGACGGCGCGTCAGAGGGTGGGGCCGTGACGCCGGTGCCTGGGCTGGGACCCGGCGTGTGGACATGGGCGTGGCCTGCGTCGTGGGCGGGGCGGGGGCGGGGCGGGGCGCCGGCGGGCGGGGCCTGGGCCTGGCGCCGGGCTGTATCTTTTGGTGCGCACCTGTAAGGAAGCAGGCGCCGCTCTCCGGTCTCCCTAAGATGCCGACCCTCATCCGAGAAGAAAGGATCAGACACTTGGCGCCAGTCGGGGAGTGCGTACGTATCCCGTCATGACCTGGCTAGCCTCCGTAACGTACCCGTGTACACACACACACATCACACACTCATACGCATATGAATAAATATACATATCACGCCGAGACCGGTTTGGCTCAATGGATAGAGCGTCAGCTTGGGGACTGCAGGGTCCCAGGTTCGATTCCGGTCAAGGGCATGTACCTTGGTTGCGGGCATATCCCCAGTAGGGGGTGTGCAAGAGGCAGCTGTTCGATGACTCTCTCTCATCGATGTTTCTAACTCTCTATCTCTCTCCTTTCCTCTCTGTACAAAATCAATAAAATATATTTAAAAATAAATAAATAAATATACATATCACATGCCATGCATTACAAATATATTATGGACACGTATATATACAAACATATGGACACGTATTATACAAACAGATATCACATGATTCACACAAATGTATGTTATAGACACATGCATGTGTATAATGGACACATGACTGAAACAAAAAAATAATTTAAAATGTTTATTGTTGAGAATATTACAGATATCCTCCCCCCAAATGTTCCCATCTACCCAGGACCTGCCCCACCCCAGGCCTTCACAACCCTATTGTCTGTGTCCATATGTTATGAAAATATGCATATACTGTAAGTTCTTTGGTTAATCTCTTCCAGCTCCTTCTCTCCCCTTTCCTCTGAGATTCATCAGTCTGTTTCTATGCCTCTTGTTCTATTTTATTCATCTGTTTATTTTGTTCATTAGATTCCTTGTTCATTTATTTTGATTTTAAAATCCAATTGTTGATGCCGAGACTGGTTTGGCTCAGTGGATAGAGCGTTGGCCTGTGGACTGAAAGGTCCCAGGTTCGATTCTGGTCAAGGGCATGTACGTTGGTTGTGGGCACATCCCTGGTGGGGGATGTGCAGGAGGCAGCTGGTCGATGTTTCTCTCTCATCGATGTTTCTAGCTCTCTATCCCTCTCCCTTCCTCTCTGTGAAAAGTAAATAAAATATATCTTTTTACAAAATAAAAAAATAAAATCCAATTGTTGATAGGAATGTATTTATTGTCATTTTATTGCTCATATTCTCCTTCCTTCTTCCTCCTCTTCTTCTTCGTCGTCGTCATCTTCTTCTTCTTCTTCTTTTTCTTTTTTTTTTAAAGACTCTTTGACATTTCATATAATACTGGTTTGGTGGTGATAAACTCCTTTAGCTTTATCTGACCTTCAGTTCTAAATGATAGCTTTGCTGGTGTAGAATAATTTTGGTTGTAGGTCCTAGCTATTCATCACTTTAAATATTTCTTGCCACTCCCTTCTGGCCTGCAAAGTTTCTGTTGAGAACTTAGCAGGCAGTCATATGGCCATTCCCTTGTAAGGTAACTAACTGCTTTTCTCTTGCTGCTTTTAAGATTCTCTCTTTGTCTTTGAACCTTGGCATTTTAATTATGATTCCTCTTGGTGTGGGCCTCTTTGGGTTCATCCTTTTGTTTTTTATTTCAGAGAGGAAGGGAAAGTGAGAGAAAGGGAGCAGGGGAAGGGGAAAGGGGGGAGAAACAGTAAAGATGAATCATTGACTGACTGCCTTCTGCACGCCCCTCCTACAACCCACAACCCGGGCATGTGTCCTTAACCAGAACCGAGCCGGGACAGGAGGCTTCAGTTCACAGGCTGACACTCTATCCACTGAGCCAAACTGACTAGGACAGGTTCATCTTGTTTGGGACTCTCTGTGCTTCTTGGCCTTTTTTTGTAAGTCTATTTCTTTCATAAGCTAGGGGGAGTTTTCTGTCATTGTTTCTTCAAATAGGTTTTTAATATCTTATTTTTTTTCTTTGCCTTCTGGTGACTCCATGATGTAAATGTTGGTACACTTGATGTTGCCCCAGAGGTTCCTTACACTATCTTCATATTTTGGGATTCCCTCTTTCTCTCTCTCTTTCTCATTGGGCATTGTTGTTTTTTTGTTTTGTTTTGTTTGTTTGTTGCTTCCTTGTATATATTTCACATCACTGATTTGATTCTTGGTGTCCTCTACTGTTGATTCCCTGTAAATTATCCTTCATTTCTGACTGGTCCTTTTTCATGATTTTGATGTTCTCACTAAGATCCTTGAAAGTCTCACTAAGATCTTTGAAACTCTCATTAAGTTTAAGTTTCTTGAGCACCCTTAAAAACATTGCTTTAAACTCTGTATCTAGTATTTTGCTTGCTTCCATTTCATTTAGTTCCTTTTTCTGGAGAGTTCTTCTGTTTTTTCATTTGTGACATGTTTCTTTGTCTCTGCATTTTGGCTGCTTCCCTGTATTTGTTTCTTTGTATTAAAGCTGCTCTGTCTCCCGTACTTGATAGAGTGGCCTGTGTAGTAGGTGTCCTGTAGGTCCCAGTGGCTCAGCCTCCCCAGTCACCTGAGCTGGGCCCTCTAAGTGCACCCTGTGTGAGTGTGTGGACAATCTTGAGGTAGTTGAGCCTTGATTGCTGTTGGTGTCTATAGAAGGCCCTGTGGGAATGCACATGGATGACCTTTAATTATCATCAGCTGAACTCTACGCCCTGGGAACATGATTCCCCAAAATGTGGGAGACTGTTATCAGTACTGATTTGTTATCTATCCATGTGCTAGGACCTTGACTTACCCAGGTCTCGCTATGCTAAATCCCAGGAATGGGGGAATGAATAGGACCTGGGCACACCCAAAACTCCTTTGACCTTAAAATCCCTCTGGAAATCAATAAATGTGTGTGTTGTCTGTAGTAGGTGTAGACTGTCCCTCCTTCAGAGTTACAGTCCCCCACCCAGATCCCAGCTTGATGAATCTATTTCTGCCTCTTGGTCTTTTTTTTATTTTTTAATTTCTTAATCCCCAGCTCCTCCACTCAGGAACCTGTCATTTTCTGTGTGAGAGAAACAGCCCCCCACAGCTGTCACTGGGAGGACTTGACCTCCAGGCCAATGGCTCTGAGAACCAGGTATGACCACAGTGGAAGAGCTGCTGTGCAGGAAACCCCCTTATGGAGCAGGACTTTCCTCAGTGGGGCTTTCATGCTCACTGAGTCTGTCCCTTGAGTGTGTTGCTTGTGGATGTTGTAGGGTTGTAATCTGGCCTGGTCTAAAGCTGACCACAGAGTGCACTGGGTCTGGGGCATCCTGGGAGGTGCAAAGTCGACCACTGCCTGTGCCCTTCCTGGGGCCACCTGGCATGAGCTATAGAGTGATATTCAGATGGCTGCTACTTGTGTTGGGCTTGGATACCCAGTAGAAGTCAAGCTGTGAATCAAGGCAGGTGCTGCTAGTGGTGTACTTGAGGCCACTTATCCAGTGGTATGGTGCATGCTGAGCCCAGCTGCTATATGTTTGAGAGATTTTAGGAAAGTCTGACATGTGAGCCAGGACAGGCCATGCATATGGAAAAAACAGCTGCAAATAGCTTGGGTAAGGCTGCAAATTGTGTGAGGAGGCGTCTCAGGGAATCACCAGGGCAGAGTGAGTAGTGAGGGCCAGGTTGATGGAGATTCAGATATGGTGCCTGCCAGTTGGCTCTGTGACTCTGATGGGAAAGGTCTCAGCACAAGAACAATGACTCCTGTGAGGACTCCTGTCTGAGAGAAAGCTGCCCCCAAGTTCTTTCCCTGATGTCAGATAATTTAGTTCCTTTCTATATGTTTCTGGATCCTTTCAAGCTATTGCCCCAGAACTGGAGCACAGAGGGAGGGAGTCCAGGTACTAGTAAGTCCATGCACCAGCCCTTTAAGAGGAACTGCCTGGGTCTCCAGCAGCCTCCATGACACTCAGCCACAATACCTGCTAGGTTTTAGAGGGTCTTCTCTTCCCAGCTCTGAAGCTGGGCTGAGGGTGTGGTGTGGGACTGAGACCCCTTGCTGCTCATGGGAGGCCTCTGCAGCTAAGACATCCCTCCTAATTCAAAACAATCCACGTGTGGGTATCCAACCAGCCTGTTCTGCACCTCTGCCCCTCCTATCAGGCTCAGTGCACTTTCTTCTTTACTTCTCTAGTTGTAGGTCCTCCAATCAGCCAGCTTTCAGGTGGTTCTGAATGATGGTTGTTCTGTATTTTAGTTGTAATTTTGATGTGATGTGGGAGGATGCAAGTACTGTGCTTACCTCTCTGAAACCAACATTTTAAACACTAATATATATTATTACTCTGTGGGATGCACTGACGTTTTGTTTTTATGATTTCACAATCCACTAATACTTTTCGATATTAGAAAAATCCTGCCCCCACACACAATGTTTGTGTGTACTAGTGTGTGTGTGTGGGGGGGGCAATATCCTAATTAGACCAGACATCCTTCCAGATGTCCTTCCAGACAAAGCCACGATGGCAGGGGCCAAGGCAGAGGCAGTTGGGGGTGATTAGGCTGGCAGAGGAGGGCAGTTGGGGGC